ATTTAAGCCAAAGCAAAATTTATCAAGAGCTGTCAATAACATTTATAAATTTTTAAGACAAGATCCTCTGTAACCATCTTTACAAAAAGCGGCCCCTCTGTCTCACCCCAATGTATGCAGGTGGAGTTGCGAGAACAATACCACAACTCTACCCAAGCGGCCCTGCCACCTCACCCCAACGTACACGGGTGGAGGTGTAACCATGACATCCCGAGTTTTAGGTAAAATTTTATGGGGAGTTACATGCTCATCCTTCGTGTATGCTATGCTATGGGTATAGATGTATTCGATTCAAATCAATCGAACATGTATTATGACAACAATATCAATAATACCAACTTAGTATTTTCCAACACTAAGAGGATTTTACTCACAAAAGCCTTTCCAAGCTATTTAGAGCTCTATGCAATATAATTGTTCATGACCAAGTAAGAATCTCCCTATTCCTACTTTGATTCCATTAATTAAGATGAGATTAATTCTTTAATATACCAAATTCCTTGCTAATTTCTTTATACCTAAACTTGGTTCCACTTTTCCAAGTTATAACTAAGTATGATAGGCGTTAATCTAGTGTTTGCAACCACTAAATTATATAAGAAATCATGGAGCAATTAGATAACACAATATTTAATCAAAGACAAACCTATATTAATAACCCATAGTCATAACACCACTACGGATTCATAACCCTAGCTAATGTTTTTAGATAGATATGACAATAGAAGAAACAATCAAATTATCCTTTAATTCTGTCATTGACACTAATAGAGAAGAAGAAGATTGAGATATCGTGATGTCACTTATTAACCCTTAGGAAAACTCATAGCCACTCGTACAATATTCCTCTTTGTAAATAGTTCTCAAAAAAGACCTAAAAAGTTCTATTTATACTCTTCTAAAAAGCTGACAAAATTATCCTCTTCGGGTCTTGCGTGGCCCAAGCAGGATGCGTGGCTCAATACTCTAATTCTTCATCTCTCAGTGCGTGGCCATGTTGTGTGGCCCATGCAAGATTCGTGGATACTTCCAGAACATAAACTTTCAACCTCCTAGTTCTCCAAATATGTGGGTGACCTGCATGGGTGACTTGCGTGGCCCACATAGGATGGACTTTTTCTTCTTTTGCTTTCTTCTTTAGTTTTGGCCTGAATTTGATGGTTTTCTTGCATGTATTTGATGATTTTCAATCTCTTAAGTCTCACCCAACTCCATGACCTGCAATTATATCATTCAAAACATATTAGTCTATTAATCACATCAACTGGGGCATAACTCTATTCAAAGGCATAAGAGAAGTCTGAAAAAATACCAACTTATCAACTCCCCAAACTTATTCTTTGCTTTCCCTAAAGCAAATCAAAACACAAGCCAGACTCATAAGAACAACTAAACAATCAAGCTAGCAACAAAATTCAGCACTCGGCCACAGCTCAATTCCAAGCATAAAAGTCACAATATCGGTTGGTACCAATAATTAATCCAAAACATATGAATCAACGTGTCTTTCCAAAAGGCTCAATTTTCATTCAAGTGCTTAATCACTACCAATCAAAGCAACAACCGAAGTCATGACATTAAAGCCTCTAAATTTGTCTCTTTATCACAAAATAACTTTCTTTTGCTAATTCATTCCAATTGAAAAAAGAAGCAAATTCTCAACTAGAGTTTACATGTGCCCTCACAATTAACAAATAATCTCACACACATACTACTATCTTTCAAAACAAGAGTGGGATAATAAGTAGAAAGAATTAAGTATTCCCTCTCACAAAGATGTTCAATTGCTCAAGAGTGGTACTATAGACTTGCCCGTCGTGTAACTTTCTACTGATGTAGGCGCACATAGTTCAAAATTATTTAGGACTTGTGGGAATATAATGTAGGCTTTTGGTTAGAGTTAGAATATCAATATAGATAAGAAGTGACTACGACCTTCCTAAGCACTGCAATTCAACACTTCACAACACTTAATATATATATGACACCTACAACCCATTTTCACACATTATTTTTCACTCTCTTCATACCCTAGACACCAAAAAACCTTATCTCAGAGTTATCTCATGATCAAAGATCTAAGCAAAGGACAAACAACACAAATCAAGTGTCGGAAATCCCGTGGCGCTAGTGAGTTTCTTGTTCTTCTTGTGGTTGCTAAATTTTGTGTGGTTCCAACTCGTGTCGGGGGTTATTTTATGTGATTTATGTTCTGAAAAATACTCTCCCAAGGTTTTCATATCAACCCTAGGTGATTCAAGTCTTCCAAAGTGATTCTAGTGCCGAGAAACCCGAAGTGCTTGCTAGTTTCGCTTTCTTGTACTTGTGATGTATTGGAAGGATACTTCATGGTGAAGTAATCTCAAATTGGAGTTATTCTATCTGTTCAAAGTTAAGGAGCCTCTTACTTTATATGTATATTGGTCACGTCCAATCCTACTCTCAAATTAAAAATTAAAAGTAGTACGGTCGATTGCAATAATAAACTCAACAAGGTTTGGGTTGATCCCACGAGGAGTATGTTGTGTTCTACGATATCAAAGAGTGTGTGAATTAAATGAATTCAAAGTAATCTTCAAATAAAAGACTGATATTCTGCAATTACTTCTAAAATTCTGACTATGAAATTTAATCAAACACTTAAAATGCAAAAATAATTAGAGTGTAATAATCAATGAGAGAATGTACTAGAGTTGCTCATCCTTTGTGTATGCTATGATATGGGTATAGATTCGATTCCACTCAATCAAACATGTGTTATGACAACAATATCAATAATGCCAACTTAGTAATTTCCAACACTAAGAGGCTTTTACTCACAAAAGCTTTTCCAAGCTATTTAGAGCTCTATGCAATACAATTGTTCATGACCAACTAAGAATCTCCTTATTCCTAGATTGAGTCCATTAATTGATATGAGATTAATTCCTTAATATACCAAATTCCTTGCTAATTGCTTTATACCTAAACTCGGTTCCACTTTTCAAGTTATAACTAAGTGTGATATGTGTTAATCTAGTATTTGCAACCACTAAATTATATAAGAAAGCATGGAGCAATTAGATAACACAATATTTAATCAAAGACGAATCTAAATTAATAACCCATATTCATAATACCACCCTGAATTCACAACCCTAGCTAATGTGTTTAGCTAAATAAGACAATAGAAGAAACAATCAAATTATCCTTTAATCCGTCATTGACACTAATAGAGAAGAAGATAATTGAGAAACTGTGATGTCACTTGTTAACCCTCAGGAAAACTCACAGCCGCTCATACAATATTCATCTTTGTCAATAGTTCTCAAAAAAGACCTAAAAAGATCTATTTATACTCTTCTAAAAAGGTGACAAAATTATCCTTTTCAGGTCTTACGTGGCCAAGTTACGTGGACCACGCATGATGCGTGGCCACTTCCAGAACATAAACTTTCAGTCTCCTAGTTCTCCAAATGTGTGGGTGACCTGTATGGGTGACTTGCGTGGCCCAGGTAGGATGGACTTTTGCTTCTTTAGCTTTCTTTTGCAGTTTTTGCTTGAATTTGATAGTTTTCTTGCTGGTATTTGATGATTTTCAATCTCCTAAGTCTCACCCAACTTCATGACCTGCATTTATATCATTCAAAACCTAATTAGTCTATTTATCACATCAACTAGGGCATACTCTATTAAAAGGCATAAGAGAAGTTGGGAAAAATACCAACTTATCAACTCCCCCAAACTTACTCTTTGCCTGCTCTCAAGCAAATCAAAACACAAGCAAGACTCATAAGAACAACTAGACAATCAAGCTAGCAACAAAATTTAGCACTGGCCACAACCTAATTCCAAGCGCAAAACTCACAACTTCGGTTGGTACCAATAATTAATCCAAAGCATATGAATCACTGCATCTTTACAAAAGGCTTAATTTTCATTCAAGTGCTTAAACACTACCAATCAAAGCAACAACCAAAGTCATGTCATTAAAGCCTTTAAATTTGCCTCTTCATCACAAAATAACTTTCTTTTGCTAATTCATTCCAATTGGAAAAAAGAAACAAATTCTCAACTTGAGTTTTCATGTGCCCTCACAATCAACAAATAATCGCACACACATACTATGTCTTTCCAAACAAGAGTGGGATAACAATAACAACAACAACCCAGTATAATCCCACTAGTGGGGTCTGGGGAGGGTCTACGCAGGCCTTATCCCTACCCCAAAGGAGTAGGGATAACAAGTAGAAAGAATTAAGCACTCCCTCTCACAAAGATGTTCAATTGCTCAAGAGTGGTACTATAGACTTGCCCTTCGTGTAAATATCCACTAATGTAGGTGCACCTAGTTCAAAATTATTTAGGACTTGTGGGAATATAATGTAGGCTTTTGGTTAGAGTTAGAATATCAATATAGATAAGAAGTGACTACGATCTTTCTAAGCACTACAATTCAATACTTCACAACACTTTCTAATCAAAATTCCATCATTTTGCTCCTTTATCCGCATAGCTCCTTCAACACTTCGCAATACTTTCACAAGACTATTTAGTGAATTAAAGAGCCAAAGTTCGAACCTAAAAGTTATAACAAAGACCATTTCTTCAATCTCTCTTTTTAAATCCCAACAATTCATATTCTAAGATTTAAGTTGTATTGATACCAAACAAGCCATGAGTTGGCTAGGGGACAAGAATACTACCACCAACACTAATTTATTAACTACCAGCTACTATTAAAAAATAGAAATTTTTTGCAGGTTCAAAAATTATAACTTTGAGAAAGAACCATGGCAAAGAAAACCCAAAGAGGTTATTGCTAACTACGAGGAAGCATAAAAACATGAACTAAAAGCAGCACCTACAATTCTAAATGCCTTTCCCCAAACACAAAATTTGTATTGCTCTCAATGCAATCAAAATAAGATTAAGGGAAAGGTAAAGAGAAGTCCCTCGATCCAAGTGTGGTGGTATCACCAACAATTCTGGTGGGTACTCAGACTTCCCCCCTCCATCCCTCATTTATCACCAACAGATTCAGCTCTCTTCTTCAAATACCCAGTCTGCTCAAATTGTAACACCAAAATATATCAAAGTAACAAATAAAAGTCATGCTAATTTACTAAATAAAAAAAAGAAAAAAGAAAAAATTAAAGCAGAGAACTTGGGTTGCCTCCCAAGAAACGCCTTATTTAACATCGAGGCATGACGCAACAACAACCAACTTCACGATTCCATTGGGGTTTCCCCCACTCAATTCTTGGTGCTAATTTTTCTCTATCAGTTTCACCAAAATAGTGTCGAAGTCTATGCCCATTTACTTTGAATATTCTCATGCCATCTTCAGATTCCAAATTCACGACACCAAATGGGCCTATATTAACAACTTTGAATGGTCTACACCATTTCGATTTAAGCTTTTCCCCTAACAATTTGAACCATGAATTGTAAAGAAGAAACATATCCCCGAGTAAAACACTTTCTCCTTGATTTTCTTGTGGTAGAGGTATTTATTCCGCTGCTTGTACAATGATGCCTTCTCATAGGATTAGAACCGCATCTTGTCCATGGGGTAATTATTTGAATTTAGGAGAACTGTACTTAAGGATTCATCATGACACATTTCTTGCATATCCTCATCTACCATTTCATCTACTATATCAATCACAGAGATCACTCCATAGTCATGTGATTGCTTCATTGACTTTTGGATATAGAAGATTTCTTCATCATCGTTCATGCGGAATTTTAGTTCTCCAGCTTCCACATCACAAATGGCCCACACCGTAGTAAAAAATGGTCTACCAAGTATGATGGTGACCTCTATATCCACTTCACAGTCCAATATCACAAAGTCGACTGGAAGTAGAAATGACCCACCTTGACATGAATGTTATCAATGACTCCTAGTGGCTTTTTCAAAGCTTGATCTGCCATAAGAAGCTTCATATAAGTAGGCCTTGGATAACCTAAACCTAATTTTTTGAACACATCATAAGGTATTAACTTAATACTTGCCCCCAAGTCACACAATGCTTTGGAAAAGCTTGTCACACCGATAATATAAGGGATAGTGAATGCCCCTGGATCCTCCATCTTTTTCACTCTGGCATGTGAAATGATTACACTGCACTGATGTGTCACTTTGATTGTCTCAAAGTTGACATTTTTCTTCTTGGTGACCAAGTCCTTCATGAACTTGGAATACCCTAACCTTTTCTCCAGTGCCTCCACAAAATGCATAGTAATAGTAATTTGGTTCAGCATGTCATAGAATTTCTATAACTATCCCTCTTTTTGCTATTTGAAAACCTCTGTGGATAAGGAGGAGGTGGCCTAGGTAGCTGCTTGTAGGACTTAGGAGCCTCCTTAGCTGCTTCTTTGATTACTTCATTTCCCTTGGGAGGTATATCAATCACATCTTGAAGAGAACTAGGTATTTATTGCATCTCTTCAACAACATTTGGCTCTACTACTGGTACATCGACGTTAGGAGGTTCACCAACTCTAGGAGGTGTAGTCTCCTCTTCATCATCATCTTCAATCAAAATGGTTCTTCCTTTAAGAACTTTACCACTCCTCGTGGTAATTTCAAAGACGTGGCATATACCCTCATTGCCATTTGGATTTGCAACAGTATCACTTAGCAATGCTCCATGTAGCCTCATGTTCAGTTGAGATGAAATCTATCTCAATTGTGTCTCAATTTGCTTGATTGACGTTGTATGAGAACTGATCACTTAATTCATTTTTCTCCTTTCCTTGTCGAACTAGTTTTTAATAATTCTCTCCATCATGCCTCTTAGCACGGGATCACCAGAATATTTCCTTGATTGTTGTAGGGCCTTTGGTGGTTGTAGTTCTGAGATGGCCCTCCATTGTGATTTTTTTAATTATTGCGGTTTGCTTACCTTGAAAATGGTAATTACAATTATACTTGATTTTGTGGTTCTAAAAATACGTGATTTATTTTTATGTTAATTGTTAGGCAATAGATACTAAGTGTGAGTTAGAAAAATGAGATAAGAGCTTAAGGATAGTATGTTATGCAAACTGAATGGCCGTGAATCGGGGCCTCAGACTGGCCTAAGCTGGGCCTCGAGGTTGAGCTAATGAGCTTGAGCTTGACTGGGGTTAATCGATGAAGGAATAATAGTTCCAAGCGCCTCAACAATAGCTCTTTATGATCAATGATGAGTAATAAATGAAGAACGATCAATAAAATACACTAAATGTAAGCAATAAATCAAAGGAAAGACAATGGAAAATGTTTAAGTTAGAGAGAAGAGGATGTTCTTGTTCTTGTATTGAATATCATGTATCTTTACAAAATGACAAGGGTCCCCTTTATATAGGAGGGGGAATTCCAATATATTACACATGCATTTATTACAAATATATGCAGCTGGTACAACTATTTAATGTCATGGTACAGACATGTACTATTCTTGTAGACTTGGTCAGCTTTAACCACGCCCCCTTTTGGGAATTTTCCGCTTGTCTAAGATAGCCACCGATTTGTACTGCCCCCGAGGTCAAGCATAGGGAACCCTCAGGGTCAAACCTCGAGCTGTGCCTCGAGGCTTCTGAAGACGGGTTGCAAAATGCCATAATAATCACAAAATCAGACTCTCCAATTTTAGCCGTATACAGATAGTCATCGCGTTTCTTAGAGTAAAAATGATAAGAAACGGTCTTGAACTCTTGCCTCTTCGATACTCCCGTCATGACGTCAGCTCATCAGAGCATTAAATGACATGACTCAAACACTGTGCAGCGGTTGCTGTGAACATGATTATCGGGAAACCCACAAACCGTTATTGGTTTGACTCCTCCACTCCTCAAATGTTGCCTAAACGACTTCTATAAATACCTCAACTGTTTGTCATTCATACTTTTACAATATCTTCAAGTTTTTAGAGCCAAGTTACTATCTTCTATATTCATCTCTTTTCTGTGCTTGTCTATTCATCTTCTTTCTTTGAAATTAAGTTATAATCATGGCAAAAACTTCAAAAACGGTACCTCAGAAAGAGGATACCACTTCTTCATCATGCCCGTCCAAGGGCAAACCAAAAACACCTCCAAGTATTGAGCAATGTACCCCTAGCAACTTCGATACGGTCTTCGATTTTACCATTGAAAGACCTCCTTCTACACTAGGCTGATGTGAGCCCATGTCTCGGTACATCAGTGTGGTGACCGACACAAAGAGGGTAAAGATGGATTGCCAAT